GGTGGGCTTCAGCACGGTGACAGCAGGTGGCAGTCCCAGTGCCAGCAGCGGCAGTCTAGAAGGCAACGGGTCTGCTCCAAGCCTGTTGGGTGAGGAAGGTCAAGAGGCATTGCCCAGTGAGACATCACCAGCAGAACCACTGCAGGGCCACATGGCAGATGAGCGCTTCACCTTGCTGCAGGGCTATGGCAGGCTCCTCAGTCAACAGGGGGTGGTACAAGCCATGCCCGCTGACAGAGGAAGCTCAACCCCGGGGAAATGCATTGAGGAGGGGCAGGGGCGCTTCCTCCACCAGCTTTGCTGCTGCCACAGCCACCAGCAAATGGTCATCGCAGGACACCGCGCTGGTCGCACGCCAGGAGCAGCACTGGGAGGGTCACGGTGCCTGCGCGCCACACCGCAGCTGGTCTGGAGGAACATTCGCTCTCTCCGAGGACAGTGAGCAAGCAGGTAAATCCTCCTGGCTATTTGCTGCCCTAGTTGTTTGAACTCTGCAAGGCACTGCTTTTCCCTAGCCAAAAATGGTCGTAGAGAAAATGAGAGGGCTGGAGCCTGCGTGCTTTCAGAGGCTCATGATACTGGCCACATTAGATGTGTTTTGGATGCTTAAGGGCTGTCTCAGCCTTTGCTAGATCTCCCTGTTGCCTGTTACCATCTACTCTTACAACTTCTGGGCTCATAACTCATGTCCAAAGCACAGAGCTGCTGCAGTTACTGGCTGTAGCACATTCCCTCGCCTCTGAAGAGGTCTCCTGGCATCTCCTCAGCAGCACGATTTTCAAAGCTAGCAGAGAGCCGCAGATGCACAGAGATGTTGCAACACTGCTCTAGGGTTTGTTCACTTGGGATGCTTTTGAGCCCTGGGAACGTGCACTCGTGGTGCCACGTTCTCCTTGCAGGGAAAATCCAAAGACATCTCAGACGTCCCACATCTTTTCTGTCTATGAACAATTGCACCTGCAATATACTCCTGTGTTAATGCTTACAAAGCAGAAGGGTAAACAGCAATATTGCCCTTAAAACCACCCACTAGACCAAATGCAGCTCTTCTCTCTTTCATATGGCTGTGGAGCACATTTCTTGCCATTGCATTGGCGGGTTTTTGGGGTTTTTTTGTCTTGGAATTGTGACAGATTGCTCTAATACTTCCAAGACGAAGAACCAACTTTCACAATCCTTGAGAGGCAGCACGCAGACCCCTGTACTCTGCTTCTTGCTGCAGACCACTAAATGCTACCACTGAGTACAGGATTCAGTGGAAGCTAAAACTAATGAGGGATGTAGTAATACCTGCTCTTATCACTAATGAGAAGTGATGCAGGGACAGCTCGGGACTGAAGGAGAGGACAGCTGTCCTTTAGCTGCACATCTCCCAGAGAATTTTGGTCTGCAAAGGTGCTGGCTGGCTTCTGCTGAGCACCATTATAAGGGAAGGGGTGAGAGCTAAGTTTGTGCATCCCTTTGCCATTACCAGATGGTTGTAAGAGCTCACTTAACTCCTAGCTTCAGGACCACTGGTGCTGCCTGATCTACATTTGGCCCAAAACAGAGGCCCAGGCATTTTCTCCTGCTGCCTTCCATGAGCAGTCTTCCCCGCGTGGGACCCCATGAGAACCTGTGCTTTTCTCTCCTACACCACCAGAAAGGCTCATGTGCCTCTCCCACCCCTTTCCACTTGGTATCCTACAGACAGCTCTGCTCTGCAGAGTCATCTCCACATGGTCTGGTTTTCACTGTTGGTAAAGCCCTGACCTGTCTGAATTAAATCAATGATTCAGTCAAGAGTCTCGCTTCTAAAAGGTTTAATCTGCTTTTGCAGGAGCTGTGCCTCTTAATACTCCCAAAATGAACCTCAGCAGCTGCAGTATCACCGCCTATGAAAGCTTTCCACTTGTCCAGCTGTGCGTTTACATCCCCGTATTGCTTTTGGGTGTTTTGCTGAACGCGTTGGCGCTGTGGGTGTTCTGCTGCAAACTCGGCAAATGGACGGAAACCAGAGTATACATGGTCAACTTGGCCGTGGCTGACTTCTTGCTGCTCTTTACTTTGCCTTTTAAAACTTTATCCCAGTTCCATCAGCTGAAGGTAGGCAGATGGTGCCTGGCTCTGGAAGGTGGCTATTTCATTAACCGCTTAATGAGCATCGGTATCATCACTGTGGTAGCTGTGGATAGGTACCTCGCCATCAAGTACCCTTTGAAAGCCAAAGTGCTGAGGTCCCCACTGAAGGCAGCTTTGGCCTCTGGATTTCTTTGGATAGTCATCATCTGTGCGTTATCCCTCATTAAAAAGTTGGAGGACCGAGGACAAGATGAACTTTGCTTTGAAAAATCTTCCGTTAAGCCCTCAGTGATCACACTGTGTGCTATCATTGTAGGGTTTTTCATACCTCTGATCATCTTGAGTTACTGCTCCGTACAAGTCATTGCAGAACTCATGAGAAAGAAGAGTGAAGACTGTCACAAGGAAAAGTTAATCAGGAAGGCCGTCTACATCGTGTCTGGAAACATGGCTGTGTTCATCGTGTGCTTTTTGCCTCTTTACCTTGGGCATCTCCTTCGCTTTATAATGGACTCCACCAGCTCCAACTGCTCTGCAATACAGAGGGTGAACAATTTTGTTCACCTCGCCTCAGTCCTCGCAAACACAAACTGCTGCCTGGATGCTATTTGCTATTACTTTGTCACCAAGGAATTTAAGGAAGCATCACCCAAGCTGGCGAAGTCCAAATCCGAAACCAGTGAAGAAGCTGAAATTCAGCTCCCGTGCATCACACATCAGTGATTTTATATTTGTGTTCAATGGGGACTCAATAGCAGGCTTTCACACCTTCTGTTTGCGTGAGTGGGATGGAAGAATTTTCTGCTAATGGGAAGGATTCAGCCACAAGAAAATTAGCCCTGATTCAGACAACTACAGCAGTCCAGATCCTGATGTAATGATCTAGTTCGCCACCGATAATTCTCTGCCTTATGCAAAATTGAGTAAAATGATAGCTTTCCCCTACAAAACTTGTCTTTCATTTCCCCAGAAAACCCAGAACAAGTTCAGTTAGCAGTAGAGGGGATTTTTGTCCCTCCTCCTCACCTTGGATCAGTTTTTATGCTGCTGCGGCTGCGACAAAAAACCAGAGGTTATTCCAAATATCATTTTAAAAAAAGTCAAAGTGAAACCACTGCAGAAAAAGAAAGGTGGATGTTTTTATAAGTCACAAACATCTTGGTTTTTAGTTGGCAATAATGCACAATCACAGTAGCAGAGGCAGATTTAGCCTGCTTTAGGCAAGTTTACAGTACCATTTATACCACATAACAGCTACGAAGTGGTCATCAATTGTAATACAAGGTCAGAAGAAAATGGTATTTCTTGTACCGAGGAGAAACTTTACATCAAAAGCATTTGAGTCAACAGCATAGTTGGAGTGGGGCAGTGGGAATAAGGACTCTGTATTAGGAGTCTATGCAACCTTATAATGTAAAGGACTGTCTAAAGAAAGCAGCAGCAAGCTGTTCCAAAGTATCCAATATAAATAAAGTCATATTACTGGCACACACTGCAGTCTCTTAATAAGTTCATAGAATCATGAATGGTTTGGGTTGGAAGGGACCTTAAAGCGCCCCCAGTCCAACCCCACCATGGGCAGGGACACCTCCACCAGCCCAGGCTGCCCAAAGCCCCGTCCAACCTGGCCTTGAACACCTCCAGGGAGGGGGCACCCACAGCTTCCCTGGGCAACCTGGGCCAGTGTCTCACCACCTCACCGTAAAGATTTTCTTCCTAATATCCAGTCTAGTGTTCTAGTTAAATGGAAAAGGTGGGGGATTGGGTGGTACAAGATCTGCTCTGCCGTTTGTCTCCAGAACGGACAGCTCATCTCCCTGGCTGTTCAAGCAAGGCACAGGGGTACGAGCTGTAAACAAGACTGGGATTTTCAAAGGCAAAACAGTGCACGCCACTCTGCGATGCACTCGCCCACAAACAGCTAAGTAGGTAAAACCACTAACTAGCCCCTTTGTAGCGATACTCAAGACACTCGCACATGCCCCAGGATGGGACATACCAGGCACACACCTCCACCCATATTTTCCGACCCCAGGCTGGGCTTTCATCTGCCTGCATGCGCTGTGCCAAACCCTGCTGCCACCCCAGCAGCCTTGCAGCCCCATGTTCAGCTCAGTCTCTGCATCTCCTCCTACTCGAGGCACATACCAAAAGGAGGAAACCCTTGAAGAGAGAACCTGCTGCATTGCAACCATGGAGCAGAGCCCTCCACCCACCTACAGCAAAGCCCACGCCACTTGCACACGACAGTGGCAAAGCCCTGACAGCTTCTCAAGGGGATGGAGGCTTCTCTCTGTGCTTGCAAGAGATTCAGGCAGAAATGAAGAAATCTGCTCTGTCATCACCAAAATCTGAGAGTAGGATCTGGCCTTTGTTCACTGCACAATGGGGAGGGGGAGTAGGAGAGGCTCTGGTTGCAGAAAAAAAACCTTTTAAGGAGGTTGGTTTCTCCTCTCTCCTGTATTTTATTTGAAAAGATCAAAGCAGCAACAAATGGCACTCTGCACACAGAGATGGGTATCTCCTCGGAGGCTCAGCCCAAGCTGCAGGACGGCCCTGGCAGTGATTTTACACTGCTAAGTGCAGCGGGACTTAGACTTTGCCTTCCCAGCACTGTGTGCTGATGGGTCTCCTGCATCACTGTAGTAAAATATGCATGTTTGTGACTTTATTTGGAACCAGTCCATCAAATTAAAGCTAAACATACCTTTAGGATTTCCTCCTCGGTAGGGGATTTGTGTGCTGAGAGCACAGAGATTTGAGACATTCCCAATTGCCAGTCTGTTTTTTAATACACTTCCAGTCTCACCAACACGGGTGAGAAATCCTCAGGGTGAAGGGTGAAGGCTCTTCAGAGGTGAAAGCTCTGCACAAACCAAACAGCTATTTTAGATGCAGCAGGAAAAAAAATACTTCTCCTTCAGTAACCACTAATTAAATGGGTGGAGGAGGTACAAAGCTGCTACAAACAATTTCTGAGCAGATGATAGCTGAACTGCCTTGCTCCGAGCAACGCCTCTTCCTCTAGCAGCCGTTCGCCCAGAAGCACAAACCATGAACACTTGGCCAAAGATGGCCAAACTTCTTCACCACAGAAACCTCACCTCAAAGCCTCTGTACAGCACTGAGTCCTCAGGTGCTCACTGGGGTTTGGAGAAGGAGGGAGCCTCGGAGGGGTTGTGGAGGAGACAGCCGGGTCGTGCCAGTGCAGGATGGCATTGGGCAGGGAGCACAGGAATGGTCCTCACTGCCACAGCCTCTGAGCAGGACCACGGCCACTCCTAATGATTGCCCAGGAGCAGCTGGTTAATGAGTGCAAAGAGGTGGGAGAGAACGTTTCACTCTCAGAAAAGAGGTGTGATAAACTGTGCCTTTGACATAGGAGCAAACCTCTCTTCTTCATTTGAGCAGGGTCTATCCAAGCACAGGGCAGTCAGGGATGTGCATGTGCTGGGGCTTAAATCAGTGGCACAAGGACCAAGCACATGATGGGGAAACCTCCTCAGGCTCCCCAACTACAAAACTGGATTGTGCTCTTGTTTGCTCCTCTTCCCCCCACCCATCCCTAGAGCTTTTGGGCTGATTCAGTAACAGAAGTATCCTCTAAATCCATAACTCATCTGGCCAAGCTCTCCCCCACTGCACAGACAGGAGCTAAGGGATGTATTAAGCAGTGAGGAGGCAGCAGCAATCTATTTCCTGACCTTTCTGGGGGGTTTAGAAACCTCTGAGAGACAAGGGGGAGCTGAGCACTTGCCAACAAGGTACCAACACTTCCACCACCACCTGGGAGTCAGCCAGCCCCCACCCCACACGCAAACAGACCCTAACTGTCCAGGGGGAGCAGGTTTGCCTTGACCTGGCTGCAAAATCCTGGTGATCTCATCACATCCACCAAGCTTTCAAATATGTACAACTTGACCTTCTTAATGTAAGACATGCTCTGTGTTCCAGACTTCCCAGATTTCTCTGGAGTCAAGTCTGGACAACACCAACCTCGCACTTCCCGAGTGGTGAGGGCAGAGGCGTGAGGAGGGATGGAGCCTACATCTCACTGCATCCAGCATCCTGCCCTCATCAGGCCACGCCGCCCTCCCAGCAGCTGCAGGACACAGGTGGGCACAAACATCTGGCAGAGGCATCTTCTACCTTATATTAATCCTAATTCTACAAACTGATGACGGAGCTGGACACAGCCAGTTTGATGCCCATCATAAGCACTGAATGGACTTGTTACAAAAACCAGATCACTTGAAAGCACGACTGGAGCTGCTGCAGTGCACTGGAGGTTGCTGCACAGTCAGAGGACGCACACACAGAGCATAGGAACACATCCAAAGCTCCCTCCAACCTTCATGGTGTTGCTTGCAGAGGTCTGGTAATATCTCACACCAGTTTTCCTGCCTGGGGCTTTCCACTTGCTGTTGCTGTCACATTTTAACTGAACCCTGCTGCCAAGTACTGAACCAGGGCAGCTGACTGAAAAATGAGAGTTCAGCAGAATGTCAGATGTGGGGGGGGGAAAGTGTGAAAGCTGTCACCAAAAAACCATGACGTGCTTCAAAGATGCTTTCATCGAAGATAGAAAGAGGGCATTTCTGGGGAAGTGAAAATCGGGGTGGCTTGTTATCGTTAGCTTGAGATAGAAGCATTCCTACATCTCTCAGTTTCTGAATTAAGGCTCAGAAACATCACCAAGTCAATCTGGTGCGATGAGTTGTCCTGTCTGGGCACTGCCTGCATTGGCCAGGGGCAGCATCTGACACCATGCGCTCTTTGTCCTCAAAGGCATCTGCAATCCTGGCCATCAGGAACCTCAGCAACAATCTGCCAACAGCTTCACTACAAAACTCCTGTGTCACTTCTGCCTGGTGACATTTTTCTACCAAGATGAACTCCTCATACTCTTGCCTTTCTGGTGCCTGGCTTTCAAGCCAGGCTTCCTGCTTCGGTTTGGCAAAAATTTGGGGTAGATATTTCAAGCCTGGCTTTTATCAGCCTCAAAATTGCAACAGCAAGTCTAAAGGTCTCTTGCCCTTGGTGGGTGCCACAGCCCGCAGTCACTTCTTTAACCCCATATCCTATGTTGCTGTATAAGAGGATCCAGAAACATCACATCTCCACCAAAAGTCACGCAGCACTGACCAGAGACTGAAGGACCAGCTTTTCTCAGTGCTCCAGCGGAAAGACTTTACCTCATGTCTCCACCATGGAGACACATTTTAGAAGGGCAGGACACCAGCACATACACCCCACGTGCACTGCACAACTCCTCCAGATTGCCACAGCTATTCTATGACCTGCTTAAGTTAACACGTTTATTGTCACTTCTTCTGTCTGTCACAAAGATTATTCAGGTTATTCGATAATTTCTTGTGAGAAGAGCCCCAGATGGCGGAAGGAAGAGAACCACACAATCTAATCTGGTTTCACAGCACAGAGGCAGTAACAGACAATTGCTCACCAGCCACCACGGGCTGGGTAGGCAGAAGGAGGTCAGGACTGATCTTGGGTCAGGAAGGGAGAGATTCTCATTCAAGCTATAATTTAATGGTACATTCGATCTTTTACTGCCGCTCACTTCCTTTCCTTGCTATTATTCTGGTGAATAGAAGAACACGACTGATGTTCAGTACCTTTCTAGTCTACCAATCAAGAAGAATTAAGCCCTTTATTTTCTCACTTTGAGGCTTCTCCCTTTGCTATTCTGACGTGTTCTGTCC